GTCCAGTTTTGTGCTGGGAGTCCAGTGGAGTCCAGATTTGTGGATATTGCCAGTATGTAGTGAAGTCCAGTGGAATCCAGTGGAGTCCATGTGGATTATGTGGGGGATGGTAAAGTACTGACTGAATGTACAACGTTGTGTCGAGGCCTCTAAGCTGGTTCAGCTTGTCTCAGTTTTGTGCTTGCAGTCCAGTGGAGTCCAGTGGAGTCCAGTTTTGTGCTGGGAGTCCAGTGGAGTCCAGATTTGTGGATATTGCCAGTATGTAGTGAAGTCCAGTGGAATCCAGTGGAGTCCATGTGGATTATGTGGGGGATGGTAAAGTACTGACTGAATGTACAACGTTGTGTCGAGGCCTCTAAGCTGGTTCAGCTTGTCTTCTGGAAACTGGATTGCCTGTTTCACCCAAGACAAAGGCCATCCCTTAGGGGTTGGAGGGGAGGGGAACCTGTCATTCAATCAGCATGCACATCATTCAGGAGTGTAGTCTTCCTGCCTGGCCCAACATCTTCCCTGGTATAAACTTTTTGGAATGAGAACGAAGCATGAAGCGAAGGTGTACACTCACTAGCCAAATTCCCAAGACTCCCGACTACCTAAGCATCGCTCATCGAGGACTTTCCCTCTCCTCCTTCTCTTCATAAGCTCCTGGCCAGTAACACATAGAACCGTGATGCCAATGCCAATGACAGATTCAGGGCAGTTAGTAGGAATCACCCACCAACACTGAGAGCCCCGAACATACAAACAGGCCATAGTTGATGGAGCCTGCTTATGGGCCGATGAGGGATAATGACCCTGTGTTGATGAATTGGCCGATGTCATCCCCACTATTGAGGTAGCGAAGGGTCGGCCAGTGACGTAAATTTAGCACAGCAGGATCAGCAGGAAGTAAGCCCAGAGAGAAGTAGGTAGTATATTGGCTGATGGATGATAGCTTTGCAAGGTCGGCTGACAGTTTTGAATGTTCCTGGGTTCGTGATTGGCCGAGGGCCTTAAATTCTGATTTGAGGGGTCAGCTGGTGGGATTAGTTATGGTTCGGCTGATTAATCAAGCAAATGGATACAGCTACCCAGTCGGCCGACAAAACTGGACAATTCATGAACTCTGGATCAGCCAACCTTTTACCCCTTTTCAAGATGGATCAGTATCTGTTTTCCCCTTCGCTTTTATTTTAGGCAGCCGAGCATGGTTGCTTGAGCCAGACCCAGTCGTTCCTGCTCGGTTTATATTTCTACCATGTTATCTTTATAGGCAAATTCACTTGTCCAAGACAACATCGGTCAGTATATTTTACAGCAGCTGATAGTCAGGACCGGGGTTCAAGTCCCAAAGGTGATATCTTCATTTCTAAATTGATAATTTTTGAACACAATCCGGCCTTTCGAACATACTACCGTGAAGCACATTGTGGCTTTGACCTAAGCAGTTGACCCAGCCAAGGTAAAGCACTTCGCCAGAGTTTCTTGAATGTCGCCCTCTAATGCTTACCCCTCAGATTAGTTTTATTTCTTCAAGATTGCAGTACTTCTTTTTCTCTTTTACAAAGAACATGACACAAAAAACCTTTATATTGACAAGAAGTTACAAGATAAGAAGAGGCATTACAAAATATGGAGTATGTGATTATTGCAGGTCTTCATTAGTGGGAGTTGAAGGATGATCATCTACTGGCATTTAGATGTTGAATCATTACTATCAAGCAGGGGACATACCAGATGAAGCTATCAGCCGAGGAGACCTCCTGGTGCCAACTGTGAAGGGAGAGGGTGATCTGCCGCGGTGTGTTGCACGAACTGGCTTTGGAGCCAAATAGATTGGGGCCGGGCTCTCAGCTTGAACCAGATTTGAAGGAGCTGTGGGTTGAATTGGAGGCGGGCTCGAAGCTTGCACAGCTGCTGATTGAATTGGAGCCGGGCTCAAAGCTTGCGCCGGCGTCAGAGGAGCTGCTGACTGGATTGGGGCCGGGCTCGATGCTTGGACCAATTCCTCTGCTGATTTATCGGTGTTGATGCCAATATCCACAGTACCCTTCATCGTGTTGATGCCGATATCAGCCGTCCCCTTGGTCGCATCGATCTGGGCATCGGTCATGATTTTGTGGCCGAAATGATTGAGGACAATTTGTTCCATGATTGTTTGTTGGTTACCAAGTTTTATCTGACCCTTGGTAAGTGCGCTATAGGACGTAGTCAGAGTCTCCTGTGCTTGCTCAGCCTGGTGGACTCGGTTTGTAAGTTCGGCCATAGACTTCGCAACTTGTTCTTGCAATGCAGCCGGTGTGACCTTCATCATATTCCTGACCTCCCCCTCAAAAGCTTTGTGCTGAACCCTTATCGTGCACAAGTCCATCTGATGGTCTTGGAGCCTGGCTTCGGCATCCTTCCACCGTGCTTGGTGAAGGTCTTCAAATCGGTCCATCCTCGCGGTGTATGCATTGCTTCTTCTTTCCTCCTTGAACCACGACAATGTTTCCAAAGTTTTGACTTGTTCAGCAAGATGATCGCCAGCGGATTCAACCTCTTGAAGTCTCTGGGTCATTTCCTCCAGGGAGGCCAGACATTGGCTGAGTGATGTGGAGTTCACGAATGGGGGGAGAAGAGCACTCGGGTCAATGCCGGTATGCTCTGACACGATGATCAGCTGAGCCTGTTGTTTGCGGAGAGTGTTTTGAATGTCGGTCTGATCTTGACTGAGTCTCCTGATCTCATGCTGGATCGCATGCATGTCGAATGCCGGTGGCAGAGTGTGGGACCTGAAATCCACCTTCTTGATGTACATTGCTGTATCAACTAAGTTTTTAAGCAAAGAAGTCCAATGAGAACATAAAAGAACTTACGATGAAGTTCTTGAACGTGAGGGGGACTGACACGGTGCGAGTTCGAAACTGACTGCTCAGGCTGGGAAGGGAAGATGTCGACCAAGGCCGGAGTGCTATTGACTAAGATCCCCACCATGTCATTGGCAGGAGCTGGGATCGGGCCAGGCATCAGAGCAGGTTAGTAAGGAAAAACGAATTTGATAGTGTCTTACCTGACAATTGGCTGAGGTTGGGCACAATGGGCATCGCAGCATTACCTGATGATTGCCCGAGGTCGGGCATGATGGGCGTTGCAGCAAAATCTAGCTTGGTTAGAAAAGAAAAACTGATTTGATTGAATCTTACCTGATGATTGCCTGAGGTTGGGCATGATCCCTGTTGCTAATGATTACCCAAGGTTGGGCATGAGGGAAGCTAGGCTGGTTAGTAAGGAAAAACTGATTTGATAAACTCTTACCTGATGATTGGCCGACATCGGGCACGGTGGGCATTTCATCCATGGCCAGACTCAACTTGGGTTGAACTGGGGGTGTTGGTGTTGGTCGTTCAATGACGATGGCTGGAGTTGCCTGTGCCTTGCCTTTGTCAGGTCGGGAAGAAGTACCGACCTCGGCGTCCACACCCGAGGTCATGTCCACCATCTCTGAATCCTCCTCCTTTATAGACTTGAAATTGAAGGACTCTCCCTCAGAAACCTCGGCCATTTCTACATCCTGCTTTGTTGCCTTTGTCTTGGGTCTTCGAACGACAACCACACTTTCCTCCTCTCCCCCGTCCTCAGCTCCCTCTGCCATTCGTTCCGACTTCTTAGCCTTCGATTTCTTGGCTTTCTTCTTTCCCTTCTCTCCCCCGTCCTCGGCTTCTTCATCCTTCTTTGCCTTGCGCTTCTTGGTTTTCTTGACCACGATCTTCACTTCCTCTGCCTCCTCTCCCTCAGTCTTCTTCTTCGAATTCCCCCCTGCCTTGCTGCATTTCGTCTTGCCTGTGTTGCAAGTGAAACAGGCAGCGAGCACACCACTGGTGCTCTCTGCGCATGGGACGGTCTCTTTGTCCTTTCGTTTACTGCAGGCTATGCAGGGCTTAATGGCAAGCTTGTATTCTCCCGTTTTAATGGCTGCATTCTGCTTTTCAAGCTTCTCTGCTGATGCCTGGGCCTTTAGTGCCGCCTTTGTAGCTGTCTCTGGGCTAACCCAAGGTGTCACTTTGGACCTGGGCTTTACTGTTATCTCAACAACTGGCTGTTGTTTCGACCTCGGCTTGGCAGTGTTGCCCGAGTTTCGTGAATTGGGCTTCGGCGTGGGCGTCTCCTCATCGCTGCTTTCCTCAATGTGTTGTGCACTGACGATGCGGGTCTTCCTCGGCCAGACGTCCAAGGAGTCCCCTCTCCTCTTTCTCCCACTGCTTGTGCCGGCCTCAGGTTTTGCTCGACTTTGTTGAGGTTTGGGCTCGGCTGGCTTCTTTTCTGGTGCTGGGACTGGTGGCTACCACTTTTATCATATAAAACAGGTAACTGCCTATAGGTCCCTGTGTATCCATCCACACTCTTTATGATAGGGAATCATTACTGTTACCATGTTTTTTCATTATCATAAAGGCTGCGCTTTTTCATTAAGTGTAGGCAAGGTTTTGGGCCTCCCTCATAAGGTAGCCTGTGGTTATCATTACCAATTTCATATCTTTTCAAAGCCATATCATTGCGATTTTCATTAGTTGTCTGGCGAGTATCATTGGATATTTCATTAGCTACATGGGTGATATCATTTTGTGATTTTCAATGGTTACTTTGGCAATATCATTGGAAATTTCATATACTACTTGGGCAATATCATTGCGATTTTCATAAATTATGTGGCCAGTATCATTGGAAATTTCATTAGCTGGTTGTGCAATATCATTGGCAATTTCATTAGCTACTTGGGTGACATCATTGCGATTTTCATTAGCTACTTGGGCAATATCATTGTGATTTTCATTAGCTCCTTTGGCAATATCATTGGAAACTTTATTAGTTACTTGGGCAATATCATTGTGATTTTCATTAGCTACTTGGGCAATATCATTGCGATTTTCATTAGCTCCTTTGGCAATATCATTGGAAATGTTATTAGTTACTTGGGCAATATCATTGGCAATTTCATTAGCTACTTGGGCGACATCATTGCGATTTTCATTAGCTACTTGGGCAATATCATTGCGATTTTCATTAGCTCCTTTGGCAATATCATTGGAAATGTTATTAGTTACTTGGGCAATATCATTGGCAATTTCATTAGCTACTTGGGCGATATCATTGTGATTTTCATTAGCTACTTGGGCAATATCATTGTGATTTTCATTAGCTCCTTTGGCAATATCATTGGAAATTATATTAGTTACTTGGGCAATATCATTGTGATTTTCATTAGCTACTTAGGCAATATCATTGGCAATTTCATTAGCTACTTGGGCGACATCATTGCAATTTTCATTAGCTACTTGGGCAATATCATTGCGATTTTCATTGGCTCCTTTGGCAATATCATGGGAAATTTCATTGGCTACTTGGGCAACATCATTGTGATTTTCATTAGCTACTTGGGCAATATTATTGGCAATTTTTAGTAATCAGGAGAGTGGTCACATGACCAAACTCCAAAAGGGGTCAAAAAACCAAAGTTGTAGACCTGCACTGTAGCTTCCCAAATCTGTTTGAATTATGTTCTGAAGTGCTCCTGTTGTGGAGATATGAGGTAAATGAATGTCAAAAGTGTCGCGTTTTTTTTTGTTTTTTGTGTTTTTCTCCATGAAAACAAAACCAAATAACATAATTTCAGTATATTCAGAAAGCTAAAAGAAAGGGCTACAATTATTGTATCGTGGGAAAAATGACCAAAAAAGGAAGGTGCATGCTCTACTATAAGAGTCAGATATAGATTTACTGATAGACTACAAAAAAGTCGGACTTAGACTACACAGTTTACTGATACCCTATAAAAGACTACAAAAGTCAGACTTAGACTATAAAGTTTGCTGATAGACTACAAAAGACTACAAAGTTTACTAATACACTACACAAGACTACCAAATTTACTGATAGACTACAAAAAAGTCAGACTTAGACTACAAAGTTTACTGATAGACTATAAAAGACTACAAAAGTCGGACTTAGACTACAAAAGCTTAGATTTACACTACAAAGTTAGAGTTAACATCAAAAGGTTATCTTGACTACAAAGTTTGTAGTGTCTGCTTTTTGTCATTAGAAAAGTTTGTAGTGACCGCTTT